GAATGATGAACTACAGAGAGTCAAAGACCGACACAAAACCAGCATGAAGAGCAAGTATGAGAGATTATTTGAGGGAATGAATCTCCAAGAGAATGAAACCCTCCTGAAACAGGATCTACACACAGCTCTACATCATAGAGGGAGAGAGAGGAGGAGTGAATGAAGAACATGAGGTTTTACAGATGGAGAAATCAGCCAGAACACAACACTCACAAGACACTCCAATCCACTGCAATGACATCTTTAAAGCCTCTCCTGAACCAGGACGCCAGGAGAAACAGCAGATCAAGACTGTTCTTACTAAAGGCATCGCTGGAATCGGGAAAACCGTCTCTGTGCAGAAGTTCATTCTGGACTGGGCCGAGGGGAAAGACCATCAGGATGTAGATTTCATGTTTGTGCTTCCATTTCGAGAGCTGAACTTGATCCGAGATCATCAGTACAGTCTTCACAGACTTCTGCTGGACTTTCATCCTGAACTTCAAGATCTGGACTCAAAGATGTATGAGGAGTGTAGAGTTGTGTTGATCTTTGATGGTCTGGATGAAAGCAGAATCCCACTGATGTTTTCAGACGCTCAGGAAGTTTCTGATGTGACTGAGTCTTCATCAGTGGGTGTGTTGATGTCAAACCTCATGAAAGGAGATCTGCTTCTCTCGGCTCTCATCTGGATCACCTCCAGACCAGCAGCAGCCAATCAGATCCCCTCCAATACATCCACCGTCTGACAGAGATTCAGGGATTCAGTGATCCTCAGAAGGAGGAATATTTCAGGAAGAGAATCAGTGACGAGCATCAAGCCAGCAGAATCATCTCTCACATCAGAAGAGCAAGAAGCCTCCACATCATGTGCCACATACCCGTCTTCTGCTGGATCTCCTCCACTGTGCTTCAGAAGCTCCTGGAAGAAGATCTGAGTGCAGAAATCCCTCAAACTCTGACTGAAATGTACATCCACTTCCTGCTGATTCAGATCCACATGAGGAATCAGAAGTATGAAGAGAGAGATCCAGAGAAACTCCTGCGCTCCAACAGAGAAGTGATTGTGAAACTTGCTGAAGTGGCTTTCCATCAGCTGATGAAGGGCAATGTGATGTTCTACGAGGAGGACCTGAGAGAGAGCGGCATAGACGTCACTGACGCCGCAGTGCATTCTGGGATCTTTAAGGAGATCTTTAAGGAGGAATCTGTGATTCATCAGAGGAAAGTCTACAGCTTCATTCATCTGAGCGTCCAGGAGTTTCTCGCTGCTTTCTTTGTGTTTTACTCGTATATGATCAAGAACAAGAAACCGCTGTATAAATTAAAATTTTCCAGATTAGACTCTCTGTATGATCTACTAAGATCAGCAGTAAATAAAGCCCTCAGGAGTGATAATGGACGGCTGGATCTGTTCCTGAGGTTCCTGCTGGGCGTCTCACTGGAGTCCAATCAGAGACTCTTACAGGATCTACTGACACACACACAGAACAGCTCAGAGGACATCAGGAGAATCACACAGGACGTTCTAGAGATGATTAAGACATGCATTTATGATCATGATGACATTTATGTAGATGAACTTGATATGCGATACAAAGAAAATAAAAAACTTGCTGAACTCTCAGCGGATCAATCCATCAATCTGTTCCTCTGTCTGCTGGAAGTGAAAGATCAGACTCTGTCCAGAGAGATTCAGGAGTTTGTGAAATCAGACAAACACTCACAGAAGAAACTCTCTCCGTCTCACTGCTCAACAATCTCCTTCATGCTTCAGATCTCAGAGGAGCCGCTGGATGAGCTGAACACCATGAAATACAACACATCAGATGAGGGCAGAAGAAGACTGATACCAGCTGTGGTCAACTGCAGTAAAGCTCGGTGAGTGTTCATTATTAACCCTTTCACGCATAAGTTTAAAATATTCTCACTGACCCCCCAGCTTGAGTTTTTCAAGGCGACCGTTATTTAGAACTTGCCACTTTAATGTTTCCATGGTGACGCGTCATTGCTTGTCACGTGACACAACACTCATTTTTCCATTTTTATTAAAAATATTCACAAATGTATTGGTTATAGCATGAAACACTGATATTTCGATTGTCAAATATGTGCAAGTGGATGGGTTTTGTTGTTTAAACATCTTTATAACGAATGCGTTAGTCGAGCTGCATGCACAATGGGCGGCGCCATTTTAGTTTCTTTTACAGTTCAGAGAATTGGATCTGTTGGATTTACAACAAATCAATTCCTCCACTTCTCACGAAATACATGAAAGTAAGTGGCTGGTGAACTGGGACAAGAATAGGGTCAAATGTTAAGCTACTTACACAATTTGTATCTGATATGAATAAAACGTGTCATCTTATTATAATTGAAAGGATTATTATTGCCACTTCCTTAGACATCAGTGTGTATTTTACAAACTCAAAATCATTGTTTTGCTAGTACTTATGTGTATTTAAATGTTTGAAACCTAAAATAAACGTTATGTGGTTGAAAACACTCAATAGTTGTGATATATGACCGCACTGAGTGCGTCTGTCTCTGGCACAGCCCCAGCAAGTTTGAATTTAGCAGTTGATGACGTGATGCACTGACCGTTCTAATCACACCGGTGTGATCGTACGCTCCAGGGCCATCAGGGGCGGGCTGAAGAAGGTACCCGGGCGTGGCAAGGGGGCTCGACAGCGCCCCCTGAAACGGGGTCTGAAAACTTGGTCCATAAATTAAACACGCTTGCATGTAATAATATGAAACCTGGTACACATATAGATCTCATCGGGGCGAACAACTTTCATGCTCTAAGTTTTACCCCAGCCCAATAGGAAGTTGTCTATTAAGGGTTGTTTGTAAAACGCATGCAATGGAATTTAAAGTACTTCTCCTAGAGAATTCAATGAAATGCCACGAAACTTGGTCAGTGTGAAATCAAGACATTGAGAATGAAAAATTGCCAGGGGATTTTTGATATCTCGAATGGTTTGGCCGTGGCGAGGAAACGAATTTATGGTGAGAAACGTGAAACAGGAAGTGTGTTATAACTTCAGCATACATTAACTGATCTTGATGAAACTTCAGCAGTGTATTTGCTGTAAGAGGATGATCACATGGATGTGACTATTGTGAGTCAAAGTTATAGCGCCCCCAACTGGCAGCAGGAAGTGTGTTGCTTCCAAAATACTTTGAAATCCCCCTGTTATTTTTACCTGATTTGCTTCAAACTCATCTGTATAATGTAAACACACGCCAGATGTAGACCTGTGAAATGATTATTTAATATCTAAGATATAGTTGCCATGGCAACACATCAAACTTTGATATTCTTTTTTGATGCTTTTGAGACTCTTAGCATGCTAGATATTGCATGAAACTCGTCGGACACATCACATTTATTAGGTAGTAGACGTGCAAAGTTTCAGAAACGGGCATGGTGCAGGGGCTCAGTAGTGCTACCTTCAAAATGGGATATTACACATTAGTATAAACACATTAAAAAAACATTGAGATTTGAAAAGAAAAAGAGCAGCATCCCAGAAGAGGAAGATATGTATTTAAATGTCTGAAACCTAAAATAAACATTATGTGGTTGTAAACACTCAATAGTTGTGATATATGACCGCACTGAGTGCGTCTGTCTCTGGCACAGCCCCAGCAAGTTTGAATTTAGCAGTTGATGACGTGATGCACTGACCGTTCTAATCACACCGGTGTGATCGTACGCTCCAGGGCCATCAGGGGCGGGCTGAAGAAGGTACCCGGGCGTGGCAAGGGGGCTCGACAGCGCCCCCTGAAACGGGGTCTGAAAACTTGGTCCATAAATTAAACACGCTTGCATGTAATAATATGAAACCTGGTACACATATAGATCTCATCGGGGCGAACAACTTTCATGCTCTAAGTTTTACCCCAGCCCAATAGGAAGTTGTCTATTAAGGGTTGTTTGTAAAACGCATGCAATGGAATTTAAAGTACTTCTTTAAATTCTTGGAATTTAAAGTACAAATTATACAAATATTAGAACTAAACCAAGTTTATTCCTTTTTTCAATTTAAGAATTATGTTTAAGTTTAAAAATAGCCAGAATGGTTTAGTCAAAAAAAAAAAAAATTCCAAACCATTTACAGTGCTACAGTATACTGCCCTCTTTTGTTCACAATACTCCTCTTAAGTGGTTTATTTTATTCCCACCAAACTTTTTCAAAATGATGAAAATACATTAAAGATGCTAAATTGTTAACGGATATTGAAAATTGTTTAATATCAATAGTAACAAAGCACAAAGATATTGCGATTTGATGCGCGTTATGCTCTACAATCTTCCATTCATTCATCAACTGAAAACAGCATAGCCCAGCACAGCATAGAATTAGTTTTTGAATATGAGAATATATTTTACCTAGCCCTAAAAAAGTAGCCAACTTTTAAAAAAGTTTCTTCGTCATCTGTTTCTTCTGCTGCTGATTGCCGTTACTGATTCTCTAGTGTTCAGGTCGCAATTTATTTCGTATCACACAGCACGGAGCATTTACCATACGTGCAAGGAGAACAAAAGACTCGTTTGGGGAGAGTTAGCGGATGCGATCATGCGGGAACATTTAGGTGCACTGGTGCACCTAGAAAAAATTTTGGTCGCATGTGCGACCAAGTTGGTCGCACTCTATAGCCCTGCTGTCTGTAGGGCGTCTTGCATCAGTCAAAGCAGGGTTACGTTTTGCACGTTGCGCACAATAACCCTAAAAGGCACCAGGGTGGCGGTGCCACCAGCTTTTTATATATACATATAGCTGCGAGCATCAATGAAGGGCCAAAGCTGGCGGCACTGCCACCCTGGTGCCTTTAGGTAAGTAAAGGAACCGGGGTTGCGGTGCCACCGGCTTGGGCCCGTAATCGCTGCTCGCAGCTATACTGTAAATTTTTTTTATTACAACTATTCAGGCACTTTTGGGGCCCTTAACCTGCTCGAAAACTCTTGAAACTTTGCACACAGGTCAGAACCTGCGGCCATCAGGGCCGGGCTGAAGATGGTACCCGGGCGTGGCAGGGGGGCTCGACAGTGCCCCCTGGAACGGGGTCCGAAAACTTGGTCCATAAATCAAACACACTTGCATGTGAGAATTTGAAACTCGGTACACATATAGATCTCATCAGTTCATATATACTTCATACTATTACTTTTTACCCCAGCCCAACAGGAAGTCGTCTAGTTAGGATTGTTTGTAAAACGCATGCAATGGAATTTAAAGTACTTCTCCTAGAGAATTCAAAGAAATGCCACGAAACTCGGTCAGTGTGAAATCAAGACATAGAGGATGAAAAATTGCCAAGGGATTTTTGATATTTTGAACGGTTTGGCCGTGGCGAGGAAACGAATTTATGGTGAGAAACGTGAAACAAGAAGTGTTATAACTTCAGCAGACATTAACTGATCTTGATAAAAAAAACTTCAGCAGTGTGTTCACTGTAAGAGGACGATCACATGGATGTGACTATTGTGAGTCAAAGTTAAAGCGCCCCCAACTGGCAGCAGGAAGTGTGTTGCTTCCGAAATACTTTGAAATCCCCCTGTTATTTTTACCTGATTTGGTTCAAACTTCATCTGTATAATGTAAACACACGCCAGATGTAGACCTGTGAAATGATTATTTAATATCTAAGATATAGTTGCCATGGCAACGCATCAAACTTTGATATTCTTTTTTGATGCTTTTGAGACTCTTAGCATGCTTGAAATTGCATGAAACTCGACAGACACATCACATTTATTAGGTAGTAGACGTGCAAAGTTTCAGAAACGGGCATGGTGCAGGGGCTCAGTAGTGCTACCTTCAAAATGGGATATTACACATTAGTATAAACACATTAAAAAAAACATTGAGATTTGAAAAGAAAAAGAGCAGCATCCCAGAAGAGGGAGATAATGAGAGCAATCACTGGACAAAAATAATGCAGGCCTGGTGAGCATATAAACATGCAGAATTTATTATTTTTACCTTAAAAGAAGACTCTTTTGACCATCAAGCCCAGAAATACTGATCAGAAATACATCATTATATTATATTATATAAATATAATTATATTACAGGCCAGTGATTGCTCTCATTATCTTCCTCTTCTGGGATGCTGCTCTTTTTCTTTTCAAATCTCAAGATTTTTTTTAATGTGTTTCCAATCAAAATGAAGCTCTTTATGTTCAGTTTGCAAATATTTGGTCACATTTATGTGTTATTTTTTAATTTTTAATTTTTATTTTTATTTTTTTCTCTCTTTTTTGTGTTACATGATTTATGACATGATTTCTAAATGACTGACCGAAGAAATAAATAAATACAAATACATTTACTCATTTCTAACTAATTTTAAAACTTCTGAGATAGATAGATGGTAATAGGGCAATGCCCTGTTCTGCTGCATATTTAAGAGTGTTTTATCTCTTTTTTTAATGATGTCTCATTCTTTCAGATCATTGTTTAAATAATTGATTCTATATCATGTCATTGTGTTTTTAAGGTCCGCTGATCGCACCATTGTCCACTGCTTGCAGTGCCACAAACCCCAGGACAACCTTGCTGTTCACCTGGCCAGAGTGTGCATGAAGAAACACACGCCTGAGGAGAGAGCGGCCGAGGTTCAGAAAGCCAAAGCTTCGGGCAAAGAGTGGATTCGGACGAACAGGACCTGGGACTACAACCAGATCTGTGTGCTCCTGCCTGACCGGCGCTCTCGGGTCACCGTGGTCAAGGAGCTTCTACGGCGTGGTTTTTTTATCACGAACCAGCCCCGCGAGTCTGACAGTGACGAAGAAGAAGATGCTGCTCCGTCTGATCTTCCTCAAACGTAAGGGCAATCCTTAAATGCTTTTCTAACTTTATTTTCATCGATAACTTTAATAGTCTTGTCTATTATGTTGAATCCAAACAGCCGGTTGGTTCAGACGGCTCCGGGCATTAAACACTGCCAGAAGATCGTGAGAGTGGCGAAGCCGGACGTGCTCAGGATCCAGAGGGACCTGCAGGCGGGCAGAGAGCTCTCCAACACGGACCAGACGCTCTACCGCTATTACTGCGAGGCGCTCTTGGTGTTTGTCCACATGCAGCGTCCCAGAGCTGTGGAAGCCTTGACGGTCAGTTCATCTACTGGAACCAGTTTACACTTCGGATGTGCTTTAATATTGGCACACTTATGCATTTATCAACGATATTTTCCAGGATGCCGAGTGGGTGAACAAGACCAAGCTGGGGGACAGGTTTGTGATCGGCGTACAGAGGGAGAAAGCCTCGAGTATGCAGATCGCTCTGACCCAAGAGGAGGAAGCTGTAAGTTTGACTGATTGCTCTCCACCATTGTTTTAAATGGAATAACTCATTGGTCTTTTCTCCGCAGTGCTTGGAGCTGTACTTCAGCCGCATCAGGCCTGAGAACATTCAGCCGGATAAACTCTGCAAGAGCTTCTTCGTCTCGTCGTCCGGCGTGGAGGTTCACAGTGTCTCTCGGGACATGAATCGGCTCCATAAACTGTAAGAGCCGAACACGGGTCCATGTGGGTGTGTGTGAACGGATACACTTCTTTGCGTCTCGCCTCGTCACAATTAACATTTCCTTTTTGTTTCTGCAGGTACAAGCTGGCTCCTTTCTCTGCCCAGTGTGTGCGGAGGGCGGTTGAGGAGGCTGCAGAAAAGCTCCCGGCGCAGCAACAGGAGGCGCTCCAGCATTACCTGTCCATCAGCGCTGGTGCGGTCCGGCCGCAGGATGTCCTCGACGCGGCTCTGCTGCTGGAATCATTAGTCAGGTACACATCGCTTCACAAAACAAAAACATCATTGTTTGGTGTATTATAAACCTTGTATTCCTCTCTTATACAGCACTTCTGCGGACGAGACGTCCTCGGCCACAAGCGGTGCCGCTGGACCATCTGGGAAGAGCTTCGCTGAGTTCGTGGAGATATTTCCTGTTTCGCCGGAGGGTCAGCCGCCGTCCAAGAAGCAGCGCGTCGAATCAGGCTTTCCAGATGACCGCGTTTTTTATGACAAGTGGCGGATTACCCAGCGTGCCCAGCGAGAGGAATATCTGCTGTGTGAGTCTCTGAATCCATCAATAGAGCATCGACACTCATTAACTCAACACAAAACTAGGCCATTCAATCACAGTAGTGTTGTTTTTGGCGGCCTGTTTTAATTTTAGTTTTAGTCTAGTCTTTGTGTCGAGCTGACATTTTAGTTTTTGTTAGTTTTAGTCACGTTCATACTCTTTTTAGTCTAGTCTAGTTTTAGTCGGCGAAAAACATAGTCTAGTTTTAGTCAATGAAAATTGTATTTTAGTCTCTTTTTAGTAGGCAATTCTATTTAACTGTGAAGTTTGCACAGTGTGATCTGATGCAGCCCCTGAAGTGACACAGGAAACAGAAATATAATAATGCAAGTAGGCTAAACGAGACGAAATAACGCTAAATAACATTTCGTCTCGTTTTGGTCAACGAAAATGAAGAGACATTTTAGCATAGTTTTTATTTTTGTAAACCACATTTAGTCTCGTTTTTATTCGTCAACGATATTGCGTTATACATTTAGTTATAGTCATCGTCACACGACCAGCAAGTTACGTTGCGTCTCGTCTCGTTTTCGTCACGTGATAAAGGTTCGTTGACGATGATATTTAGTCATAATTTTCGTTGATGAAAGCAACACTAATTCACAGTGACTCACATGAGTAACGTTATTTCATTCTGTCCTTCAGCACGTTTCACAGTCCACAAGCCTTCGGCCGCAAAGGTGGCGCGGCTTATCGCGCAGGAGGGGTGGAAGGTCAACTGTCCCAAGCCGGAGGACATCGAGCGGATGTGGACACCAGCTTCGAAGGCCGCGGTTGAAGATTACAAGTTCATCCTTCGCTGTGTGTCTGAGCAGAACTGGGCCGGCGTGGCCATTAAAGACTTTGGTGGCAAGAACGGTTTGGGTAAGAAAACCTTTCATTTGTCTTGTAAGGGCAGATAAAAAACAATACTGTAAAATGTGCATTTTAGCTGCGGCAAGAACTAAATTTACATTCTGAACTGTTATAATGTTTATTCATTAACTCAATGTGTTCTCTTCATTTTAGGAGTCGTGGCAACTCGGACTTTTTCCAAGAACGACATTGTCTGCGACTACCACGGCAGGGTCATCCCAGCGGCACGAGGGAGGGCGATGGTGCAGGATGACGAGGACGGGCACATGTTCTTCTTCAAAGCCGGACAGAGAGAGCTCTGCGTCGACGCCCAGACCTTTCCGTGCGAGTGCCACCCTGGCACAGACACCGTTGGCAGGAGGATAAACCACTCCACAAAAGCACCCAACCTGAAGCCCTTTCACTGCAGGCTGCGTGTGGACGGGGAGGACAAGTACGTCATCCTCCTCAGGGCGCTGCAGGACATCAGTGTGGGTGTGGAACTACGGTTTGACCACGGGGTGAAGAGGAAGTCCTTCTGTGGAGAGGGCCTGGACCCGATCTTCATCACACATGTGGAAGTGAAGTGAAGTGGAGCTGGAGAGATTTGAGAAAGATTCGTGCTTTATTTCACAGTGTGTTCATGTTCCCATGTCCTGGAGCTGGAGTGGGTGGATGTCTGATGACTCTGACAGACTCTATGATATTGGACATATATTTATGCTTTATGTACAGGACTTCATATAAAGCTGTTACACATATTTCTTTACTGTTTTAAAAATAAAAATTCACTTAATTGATTCATTTCAATGTTTCTTTTATCAGTGCCAGACTTTGATAACTTATTTAATAGCCTTTATTTATACTAGCCATGCTTACATAACATTAAAGCTGCAGTCTGTAGCTTTTCCTCTTTGTCGCCATCTCCGTTCGAAATCTGCAATTGGAGTTATTCGTGGAATTATCATCTTTACGTGGGTTGTAAATCGGCATGAAACAGCGCGGAAGAACACAGTGTTTTGAGGTGAGTGCTGCTGTCAATCACCGCGCTGTGTGGATACTGTCATGCAGACTCATAGATTTACTTTTTGAAAGTTTGACCAACATAAGAATATTCACCGGAAAATTTCTTCTGAACAAGTAAGTAACATCCGTTTCGTTCTGATCAACTAAGAGGGAAAAGCATTCGACATTAAGCGTTGTTAGATTTAATCAACGCGATTTACAGCAACCGTGCAAATTATAGCCTACTTTATTCTCAAATTGTTCATGTTAACAACATCAGCATTGCGTGACTAATGTTAAATTTAATGTGTTTTATGGTTACCTGCAGAATTCATATTCTCCATAATAGCAAAACAAAGGAAACTCCATAACTGTGTGAATTAAGAAAAGGTACTGTTACACGATTGAACTATTGAAATGTCTTACTTGTTCAGCAGAAAAAAACAGTCTCTTCTTCCGTTTCGAACCCCTTCAAAGTTAACGCAATTTTTCAAAAGCCCCACCGATGTTTAAATCCTTGTGTTCGCATGAGACGGTTTCTTTCTCTTTCTCAGACACCTTAAATCCGAAGTACAAAGTCATTTGGGTTTTATAACTGCTGAATCTCCAGTTGACACTGATGATTGTTGTTTGGATCTTTCTGAATGCCATAAGTTTAATTATGTGAAGTGCTGCGAGAAAAGCCTATACATCTTTACATCGCCTCATGCGCAGTATAGCCGGCTAGCCGAAACTCCTTCTTTGTGTTTACGAGTGTGACGTAATGACGCAAAGACTTGCTCGAATTTCCCGCGGAAACCCACCAGTACCACTGGAATTAAAATAATTATTACAAGCTAACCGTTTTGAATCTAGCTATGGCATGCAGATAGTTTTGACCACAGGCAGAATATGTTTTTTTTTTTTAATAATTATTTTGGATTATTTTTAACTTAAAAAAGTTACGGACAGCAGCTTTAAATACTTGCATTTCTGATTCTCCAGGTCTCTATGCAACAAATTATTCTGTGCCCATTAAAGTTGTGAATTATTAATGAAACAAATGCGGTTTTGAAACAATCACAATGGTAATTCAAAGTCCTTTACATAGAAAAGATTAAAATAATCAAAATAAATACTATATAAAACAGAAAGGGCTTCAGGTTGGGTGCTTTTGTGGAGTGGTTTATCCTCCTGCCTTTTCTTTCTTCACCTCGGGAGCAAATCGCTCGTTGAACATTAAAAAAAAAAAAAAATAATAGCTAACACATCATAATTCTGGCACTGAATGTGCAATTGTGTTACATGTTCATATTAGAACCATTAACAACATTTACAACATCAAAATGATAAAAATTCTGGCACTAATTGGAAGAAAAAAAGAAATCAAACAACAGGTTAAGGGAAATTGTATTTTATTAACAAGTGATGACCTGCAATGACCCTCTGTCTAACCCTCACCTAAGCTTTCACTGGAACCGGCCAATCAGAGCTCACCCTGGAAAGGGGTGAAAGTGCAAGTTCAGCCAAAAAGAGCACAACTGATGTCAAAGGTGAGACTGAATAAGAATATGTTACATGGCTTCAACAAGTGACAGTAACGATTTATATTGTTGGAGAAGATTTTTATCTTGAATAAATGCAGTTATTTTTATTTTGTGTTCATTTGGTGAAAAAAAACAGGACAGGTCACATTATACACTGATCAAGTCATAAGAGTCTTCTTTCAATAAACAAATAATAAATGCAGGATGTGTGTGTTTTCTTTGTTTCGGTGTAAAGATGATGAGTGACGTCATCATGCAGTGCAGAGAGTTTAAATGCTTTTTCGTTTGGCCAAATCTTAATCTTTATTACCTTTGATTTATAACAAATTAAAGCTTGTGGTAATAATTGACATTGCATTTATTTTTTCAATGTTTGTTTTCTTCTTCCCCGAGGCGACCACTGTGATGATGACTGTGGGTACACTTTAAACACTTTAAACATTAAACAGCGCATCTGTTATAGACGGAGATTATTGTGTGATGTGTATTTGGACAGATGTTGTATTGTGTTATTTAGCAGGACAGCGAGCACACCTCTTCATCCGAGGAGCAGACGATATTCTTCCTCATCCTCCTCTTCCTCCACAGGAGGGTTTTGATGAGGTAATGGACATACAGGCAGGCTTCAAACTCTCAGATGCAATCGTGTTCACTTTTCATTTGATTTTTATTTCTCTACAGTATTTTGCAGACAACGAAGAGTACTCATTTATTTTAAACAAATATGTGTAAATATCATTATGATCTACTCTAATACATTTCCAAATCTGTCGAGGTTTTGCAGAGATATCTGTGTTATAGTGGTCTTATAAAGAATGAAATCAACTCAAAAGAACGCAATTCAAAAAAGTTTACACTCAAAAAAATGCTGGGTTGTTTCTGTAAACAAATTGCTGGGTTGATTGTGCTGGGTCAAAATGCTGGGTTGTTTGGGGCACTGTAAACACATTATTGGGTTGCTCATGCTGGGTCAAATGATTTGTAAGAGGGTAATTCACAAATAAACAGCTGGTTGGGTTATTTTGACCCAGCAACTGGTTTATTCTTTGCGGAACTTTCTGGACTCTTCACTTCTGACTCGAGGAGGACGTCACTCAGAACAGGCAGTGTTTTATGGTAAGTTATATGAATGTTTACCAATATTTTTAATAATTTCGCTGTTCAGCATACAGTCTTTGATATGGAAGTGTGAGGGGTTACGTATTTATTCTGTAAAACATTTAATAGTAACAGCTAGACGGTTCGATTTTTTTGACAAAATGGCGCGTTAGTTGTAAACCAGCATCCTTATTGAAAGAAATACGCAGTTTAAATTGTAATTTCATCACGTAAATATCGTATTTATTGTGTACGTTTAGTAATTAAAAGTGAGGAAAGCAGGGACGTGCACAGGAATTTTGAGGGTAGTGATGTGTCGTTCATGAACGATTCGTTCATTTTGAACGAATCTTTAATATGACTCGGGACTATCGAGTTGTCTCAGGGAGTGATTCGTTCATGTTGTGTTACCCGCGCATGCGCATTGCGCAACATATGGATTCTGAATCTGTACTGGAAACAGAAATGATTAGTTCATCTCTCGAGTCTCGAGTTCGGGTTCGGGGCGAGTCCGAGTCTTTCGTTCTTCCTGTCAGTCCCATAGAGCCTATGCTATTAGTACCGGAAAGAGAAATGATTAGTTCATCTCTCGAGTTCGGGTTCGGCGGGTCCGAGTCTTTCGTTCTTCCTGTCAGTCCCATTGAGCCTATGCTGTCAGACCACCGGAAAGAGGAATGATAAGTTCATTTGAGTCTTCGGGTTTATTTTACCCTGGAGCCTCCATTTTTGCACTCAGGTCAAAGTCTCACGGCCCTCTATCAGAATCCAGAGTTTTGAGAAGATTGGAGAACCTTAATTTTTCGCCCGAAAAAAAAAAAAACGAAAGGGGTACCACTGTCGTTTTTTTTTCGGGTCGAAATTTTAATTTTCGACATCTCAGCTCTGGAAGGGGCTAGAGCCTCCATTTTTGCACTCAAGTCAAAGTCTCACGGCCCTCTATCAGAATCCAGAGTTTTGAGAAGATTGGAGAACCTTAATTTTTCACCAAAAAAAAAAACGAAAGGGGTACCACTGTCGTTTTTTTTTCGGGTCGAATTTTTGAGTTTCGATATCTCAGCTCTGGAAGGGTCTAGAGCCTCCATTTTTGCACTCAGGTCAAAGTCTCATGGCCCTCTATCAGAATCCAGAGTTTTGAGAAGATTGGAGAACCTTAATTTTTCGCCCAAAAAAAAAAAAACGAAAGGGGTACCACTGTCGTTTTTTTTTTCGGGTCGAAATTTTGCATTTCGATATCTCAGCTCTGGAAGGGTCTAGAGCCTCCATTTTTGCACTCAGGTCAAAGTCTCACGGCCCTCTATCAGAATCCAGAGTTTTGAGAAGATTGGAGAACCTAAATTTTTTGCCCCGAAAAAAAAAACGAAAGGGGTAACACTGTCGTTTTTTTTTTTCGGGTCGAAATTTTGAATTTCGATATCTCAGGTCTGGAAGGGTCTGGAACCTCCATTTTTGCACTCAGGTCAAAGTCTCACGGCCCTCTATCAGAATCCAAAGTTTTGAGAAGATTGGAGAACCTTAATTTTTCGCCCGAAAAAAAAAAACGAAAGGGGTACCACTGTCGTTTTTTTTCGGGTCGAATTTTTGAATTTCGATATCTCAGCTCTGGAAGGGTCTAGAGCCTCCATTTTTGCACTCAGGTCAAAGTCTCACGGGCCTCTATCAGAATCCAGAGTTTTGAGAAGATTGGAGAACCTTAATTTTTCGCCCGAAAAAAAAACAAAAGGGGTACCACTGTCGTTTTTTTTTTCGGGCCGAATTTTTGAGTTTCGATATCTCAGCTCTGGAAGGGGCTAGAGCCTCCATTTTTGCACTCAGGTCTAAGTCTCATGGCCCTCTATCAGAAATTGGGAAGATTGGAGAAACTTAATTTTTCGCCCAAAAAAAAAAACGTAAGGGGTACCACTGTCGTTTTTTTTTTCGGGCCGAATTTTGAGTTTCGATATCTCAGCTCTGGAAGGGGCTAGAGCCTCCATTTTTGCACTCAGGTCTAAGTCTCATGGCCCTCTATCAGAATTTGGGAAGATTGGAGAAACTTAATTTTTCGCCCAAAAAAAAAACGTAAGGGGTACCACTGTCGTTTTTTTTTCGGGCCGAATTTTTGAGTTTCGATATCTCAGCTCTGGAAGGGGCTAGAGCCTCCATTTTTGCACTCAGGTCTAAGTCTCATGGCCCTCTATC